AAGTTTACCAAGACTACTCAAAAACTTACGAAGAACTGATTACAGGGACGCTAAACTCGCCTTTTATATGCGCGTGGTGACGCTGAGAGGTCCGATTACAAAACCAATAGAAATATAGACAAACAGATAAACATTGTGACTATGTTCGTATTTAGGATCATTCTGAAATTATTAAACTAATCAATAATCAATTCAATAATGAGCCTTCTGGCTAGTGTCCTTAACACTGGCACTTTACTGACCGCAGTGAGTAACAAACCAAATCAATGAACGGAAACTTAGTAAATATCAAAGCATTGATTCTCTTTGTTCAATCGATTGATCTATTGTCAAATCTACATCCTAAAACGGTTTAATGCAAAAGGTTTTTCTACAATGCTGAATTCCGTGGCTTTGAGGGGAAAACATAATCTATTCGCTGTCTCGTTCTTGGGTCCTCAGTTTATCTAAAGGAGCCTCCCAAGAATCTAGCTTGCTTGCGCACTCCCCCGCGCGATTTACTTCTTCTTCTGCCTCTTTGTTTCTTCCAAGAGCACAAAGAACAATTGACATCGCTTGGTGGGTGTGAATCAGCTCGTCCTGTGTGTCTAACACTTTTTCTTGGTAATCAACTGCCTTTTTCAGGTAGTGGAGGGCTCTAAGAAAGATGCAACGTCAAATAATGAATTTCCTAGACGTTTTTCCTCCAAAAGAGGTGTCACATAGCTGCTAGTGTTTTTACCAAGCGAGATTCACATCCATATGATATATTCTCTTAGGAAATGTTACATCATTCCTCATCTTACCGTTCAAGAAAGAATTCTGCGATGAAAAATATTTGCGTCGTGATACAGTCTTTTAGATATTACCTTTGAGTCATTCACTGCAATTTGCTAAACCAAAATACAAAAAGTTTGAGGTTGTACAGGAAAATTGACTCGACAGCAGCAAAATTAGAAGATAAGGACGTGATCTAACAAGCAAACAACACACGCATCGCAACTGTCGCTACACTACCTAAAAACTTGTCGACGCGGTAAGAATACAAAGAAACATTTTTGGACCAAATGAGCACGCCTCGAGAGTAGTTTTCTTCCCCTCGTTCTTGACTACCATGTGTTCCTCTAACATTTTAACAATGGGAAATTCATGTAAACTTGACATTTTGATGGAGTTGCATTGATTACGATGAAAAGTTTAAAGGAACAAAGGCACGAAGAATAAAAGTTTTTGCAAGGGTCGATATTGCTTACACTCGATTTTGTTGTTAACCTTTGCTAAGAGGGTATCGGATCTACAAAATGCCTTACAATAAATAGCAAACTATGTTTACTCACGTTTCGTAGTCCTGTTTCGCGCTGTAAGCCACACCCACATCATACAGAGACTTCGCAGTTTCCTGATGTTGCCCCAACAGTTGCCTTCGGATTGAAATTGATCTGCTGCTGTATTTAATGGCGTTGTCGTAGTCACCCAAGGCGTGGTAACTGTTACCAATCCAACTAAGAGTGGTTGCCGTAAAAGGGTGGTCACCGAGGTTCTCTTCATAAACAGGAAGGACATGTGACAGCCTTGTTTGGATGGCCATCATGTGTTTTCGCTGCACCATTTGAGAAGCTGCGAGTCAAAAAAAAAAAGCGATCAACCGGAAGAGTGCAATGACTAAAATGGCCAAATTTTAAATAAAAATAGCCAGGGATTAAGGAAGATACAATGAGGCGAGAATGGAAAAATATATTTTTTTTATTTCTCTCCTATAAAAGCCACCTGCTAAAACTAAGAATATTGCGTAGTTTGGACGAGAACTTAAAAAATGCAAGCTCTCTTCGATATTTTCAAATCAATTTCTCTTTTATTTTAGCCCACTTCACTAATCAATTTTCAAATTCACCGCCGGCGGCGCAGTCAAGGTCCCGGATATGTCTTTGCATTCTGGGCGATGATGTAGAGAGGTTGAGAGGTCGTTGGTCAAAAGAAAAAAAAAAGAAACCAGAATGATGCAAGGTCGATCGCCTGTCTATTTTTAAAACTGCGCTTTTTATTTAACTTACAAGACCCGCATTAGCCATGCCAATTGAGTACTAGAGTGGTGAAGGAAAATGGCCTTGAGTTCTTTCTACACACCAGCATATGCCACCAACATCACCTCCTAATTGTTGTATCAATTTATCTAAATGGTGCTTAAACAATTTCGTTCGTAATGAAGCTTGTGCGAGGTGCTCGTGGATGTTATTGCTAGCTTTCGTGGAAAGATTCAATGGGGATAACTTTCCGCAGATGATTCCCCTTTACGAATAGATCTTACCATGAAAGCATTAAGAAATTTAATTGCCACTAACCTGCTACATCGTTGAAACAGGCAGCTAACATGACATGATCTTTGATGCTGTTTAGTTTCTCTACTCTGTCCCGTCGCAATTTCAAGGCGATCTCGAGATATTCATAGCCCTCATCAACGCGCCCCTCGCGAACATAACAAAATCCAAACTTGCTCATGCACTGGGCACGAGTGGTGTCCTTCACGTCCATACGTTTTGATTGAATGTCAATTGCTTGAGTCAACATTTCCCTGGCCTGATACAAGGCTCTTGGACAAATGTGTGGGGTACATGTGCAGCTTAACACTATCTTCATTCCGATGTTCGTCAAGCAAGCACTGTAGAGGTGCAAGTGGGAGCGACATTGATACGCAAGCTTGCAAAAGAGCGACTGAAATTCTTGTTTGCGCATCACCTTGGCAAGAAATCCAGCTGCCTCGTTAAAGGCGTCGATGCATTGCTCCCTGAAAGTTTGGTCAAGCTCAGGGTGATCGTCTCCACACCAAGCCATGGCTTCCCGAATGTTGTCC